TGTTGAAGTGTGATTAGAGAGAAATTTCCATCTCAAAAAAAAAAAAAAAAAATGTGTGCAAAGGGAAAAGTGAGCTTAAAAAGGAAACTGAGGCAAACTGGTCCGAGAAATGGGAGCCTGTCAAGAGAACTTGATTTAGGCTCCACCTATCACATGCACATACCAATTGGAAGCTAGGGATACACAGTAGAGAGAGGGCCTTGGAAATCGTCTGGCAGCATTGGGAAATACAGCAAGATCCAGTTTATGGAACATAGTGACAGTAGCGCTAGCAACTGTATCCATGTCTAGGACAGTGGAGTCTGTGAAGCAACCTGCAATATCTTGTGCTTAGTGGCAGCAGCAAGGACAGTGGTAGATGAATTCTACTGCATGATTTGGGTTTTCTTCTTTATGTGTCCTCCAAATTGGATTCTTCAGACTCGGCAATTTTGTGAGCCACTCCGTATAATCTATTACAGTATCTAATACTGTCGATTACCTTATTGGGTCAAGGGGGGAAAACACTGTAATTGTTGTGAAAGACTTGTGGCTGTGTAGCCAACGGCCATTCTTTTTGAAACAGTCGTTTCTGTTTTTGAAACTGTTTTTTTAAACTTTTTTTTTTTTTTCAGTAGGCATGTACCCAGCCTGAGGCATAAATCATGACTGGTCCGTAGCATAAGTCCATAGCATTCTATGTAATGTGTTCTTTTTGCCGGCATTAACTCTCATCTTTACCAAATCCTGCGAGGTATTATTTTTTCCATTTTATTGATGTGAACTCCCAGGCTCAGAAGTTACTGGTTTTGAACACAGGCCTGACTCCGTATAGCTCTTTCCAGGGCACTACCGATTATTCATCCATGGTAATTTTGCGCATTTTTTATGACTCTGGTTGTGGGTATTTTACTTTCCTACTTGACCTTCCCTATCGCCCTTGACAAAATGGGAACTCCTTAAGATGACTCCTCCGGAGCCGCTCCTAATGACTTCTAGGAAGCCCTCTCGCCCTCCAAAAGTGCCCCTTCTGATTCCCAGGGTGCCTCCCTCTCCGTCCCCAAGAGCTGCTCCTAATGATCCCCCAATTCCCCGCTCACTGAGGAACTGCTTTTTAATGACCCTAAATACAGCCTTCCTCAGGGTCTGTCCTAATGACCCTCGGGGCACCTTCCCCTCCCTGTTCAGGCTTGCCAGCGAGGGAGGGGTTTCCAAGGACACAGGATTTTGTTTTGAAAACCGAGACACCCAGGACAGACCAGGAAAAGTAATCTTTTCAGCATTCCCTGAGCTTGGAAGCTGCCCCTAAGGACCCCGACACATTTCCACGTTCGGCAAAGCGAATACTCATCCCAAGAAAACTTTGGCCCATCCTTTCGTTAGCGACATTCTATAGTAACCTTACCGGCCTTACCCACCTACCCGACCGGCCCACTTCTGGGTACTAGCTTCTTTCAATCCCGATTACTTATGGGTGGCCGGGGAGCCCGCCTATGATTGGCCAACTTCGGGATCCAGCTAGAGGCTCACTGGCCGTGGTCCCGAGTGGTACAGCGTTTCCTCCTGGCAACAGCCCGAGTCGGCGCTGATAGGCTGAGCACACTGTGGTCGCGACTGGGAGGAGGCTGCGGCGCGTGCTCATTGGTTAATGTAGGGCTTGCGGCCGCCCTCGGATTGGTTGACTCTGTGTAGTGCTGTGCGGCTGCGCAGATGCCGACTTTGGAGGAGGCGGAGCTTCGTCCTTCGCCTGCTGGAAAAGCAGTAGGATCGGCCAGTGGCGACAGCAGGAGCTGAGCCTAAGCCCTGGCGGGGCTTTGGGCTTTAGGTGAGGACTGTAGGGTTTTGGAATTCTTGAGGTTCGTTGCTACTGTAGCCGTGACCGTGAGTTTTTGTGGGGGAGGGGTGGTGGGGTGGTTCTTCCAGCGGTGAGTGATCGGCATGTTTCTTGGCCAATAGGAGAAGGAGCTTCCAGAATGGGTTCTGGGATTGGCCCTTTCCAATCTTCAGGGCCAATGGACGTCGGGAGAGGGGGGCGGGTCCTCTGGCCCTTATTTTCTTCTTCCTGCGGCCGAGCCTCACTCGCCAAGGCGGCGGGGCCGGGAGGGGTTGTAGCTGTGCGCGGTGAGGTTCGGGGATCTTGGGGAGCAGGGGCGCGTCCTTTGGAGTGATGCTCGCGGGAGCGGCTGCGAGGGAAGGGTGTGGGAGTCCGAGGGGGCTGTTAGCAAGAGCTAGCTTTATTGAGTGGTTAAGTACCAGGCCTAGTGTTAGGGTTTCCCTTGCATCATCTGAGCTAATCATAGCGACCCTGCAGGGCAGGGGGTTGGGATTCCCATTTTACAGGTGGAGAAACTGAGACCCAGTCATCTCACACAGCCAAGGTCACACAGTTAATAAACGGCAGAGACCGGATCTGTATTCAGAGTTTTGACTCCGGCGCCGGTGTTCTTGAATCAGTAGGCTTTGTTACTGATGGGGAGGGAAGGTTTCCCCAGGGAATAGATTGGGGGACGGAAATGTTAGGGTTGAAGAAGGGTTGAACAACTGAGGTGAGCGTGAGGAAATCAGTTTTTTAACAGTTACCGGGTGCCTACTCTGTGTCATGTATTGTTCTAGGCATACAAAGATGAATAGGGCCAGAGGCTGATGAAGCCCTTTAACGCCCCTTTGAAGGCCCGGGGAGGGGCCCCAACATTGTATTCACATGATTGTATGTCTTTATAAAATTTGCAAAAGTAAGATATTTTGGATTCATTTTTTTTTAAGAGGGTCCTCAAAATTAAATAAACTTGGGTTTTCTCCATTCTTGGAACTGCCCTTGCAAAGGACTTATTCCAGGTGGAGATTAGGATGTAGGCAGAATAGAGCAATGGAAAGTGCACCAGGAGTGGACTGTGGGCAGATTTCCCGGTATGTAAAACAGGGATAACAGTATACTTGCCATGCAAAGTTTCTGCCAGGTTCATGGAAAGCGCCTCCTTAGAAACACGCCTTATTTTTGATGGAAAGGAAGACTAGGAGATACGGTAACCGGATTTGCCTTCTCCCCTACCTTACAAAGTTTTGCTCCCAGATCTGTCACTAGATTTCTGGTAGACTGGAGGCAGTTTTCTCCTTTCTGAGCTCTCCAGCTCTCAGATTCTTGGAGCTGAACAACCACCATAGTTTTGGGCCCCAGATAAGGGGGTAGAGAACTGCTGGACCCTCGGTGAGGAGGTTGGGTAAGGGAAAGGACATACTAGTGTTCTTTTAGAATGGTCTAGTTTAACTAGTATGCTTTGTATTTTTTCAGTTGAGATTGTCTATTGTGTTAGTGAGCCGTGGGGATGCACCCACTTAGCTGAAGTTCTCATCTAAAAACAAAGTATTTATTTTGCTTTCTCCAGTCAGTTATGAAGTTTGTCCTGTATTATCAGCTTAACTTTTGTCCTTTTTGAGTTCTAGATACAGTGCAATTGAACTAGTCTGTATGTAGCTTGATTTCATTAAGTAGTGCTGAAACTGCAGAATAGTTTATTTAGATAGGAGAACAGTTTCACTTTAGGGTTTTAAAATTATGTTACTAGTATCAAAGGGTTTTTAAATCATGTTACTAATATCAAAGCACTTTTGAACCCTTAAGCTTTGTTATCTTGTAGCCACGTAACTTTTATTAGGTAGCTGTTTTAAAGCTGTGCCCTAGGAAGGAGCCTACGCCTCCCAAAGTGCTGGGATTATAGGCGAAGGCCACCACACCCATCCATGGGTGGCTTTTAAAGTCAGCTTGTAGTATGTTATGTTTAATACTCTCAGAAGCGGTTAGCAAGGTGTTAATAAGGGAGTAACCTGAAAGGATAAGGGTAAGATATGGGCATTTTAGCTGTACTATTAGGTAGGAGCAACAACCAAATCATTAGTTTCCCTTTTTTAGCTGAAATGATGTCTGTTTTTTTTTTTCCTTTCAAGAACCGTTCTGTTGCAGTAACAATGTCTCTGTTGAAATGAGCTTTGAAGCCGTGCAGTTCTGATACATCAGGTTCTTTTTAAACTAGCTGTAGTTCTAGTTTTTTAAAATAACTTTTTCTTTTGTTGTCGTTTTATTAAAAAGAATTTTTTTTGAGACAGAGTTTCACTATGTTGCCCAGGCTGGTCTCAAACTCCTGAGCTCAAGCTATGTACCCATCTGAGTATTCCAAAGTGATGGGATTACAGGCCTGAGCCTCCACACCCTGATTTATTTAACTTTTCTAGGCAGATTAAATAAGGCAGATTCCAGATGTGAAGTCTTAACTGCTTCTTCTGAATTTCTGTATTACCTTTTAGTGTTTTCAGCATTGATGTTTCCAGCACTTAATTTTAATTTTTATATCATTTTAAACTCTTAATGTGTTTCTTCAGATTTCTGTCTGACTAAAGGGACCTGAAAAAGGAGGGAAAATGGCTTCTGATTCTGAAACTCTGAATCCCAGTGCTAGGATAATGACCTTTTATCCAACTATGGAAGAGTTCCGAAACTTCAGTAGATACATTGCCTACATTGAATCCCAAGGAGCTCATCGGGCAGGGCTAGCCAAGGTAAGGAGCTGGGATTGTTCAAATGGTTTTTGTTACCTAGGGCAGCAGTATAAGATTTTTTTTCCTAAATGAGGGCCGGAACTGTGTTTTCCTGAAACAGTTGGGTGGGGTGATGACTTTAGTGAATGTGGTTCTATTTGCAAGTTAATTCATGTTGTTAACATCAGAAGCATCTCTGCTTTTAGGTAGGAGGAGAGCTACTTGACATCTTCAAAAAGGGGGAGGTAAAGAGCCAGTGTCTCCAGGCCTGGCTGCTGTTGAGCCTCAGCCCTCTTGGTAGAGCTGGGTGCTGTGGTGTTACTTAACTGCCAGTGAGTGCTTATGCCATCTGACTTCTCTTGCTCTCATTTCAGTCTCATCCAGCACTCTAGTAGCAATTTGGCTTCCCATGTGGACTTTCTTCAAGGGGAGAGAATGCACTGGCCAGCCAACATGAGTATTCTGGTCCTTGTAATTTGAAATTGGTTTCTGGTTTGTACTTCTTTCTCCTGTGAGTTGGATTCATTATTTTTCCTGAGTCAAATCAGCCCTTGATATATTCTGTCACAGTGAGGTTCCGTCCTGGAAGCTGAAAGAACTGCATTTCTGGAGAGATCCTCAAGAAACTGAGAGGCAGGGACCTCAGTCTAAGCCAGGAGGGAACTTTTTATACCATTTTATGTTGTTTGAATTTCATACCATAAGTACTCGTTAAGGGAAAGCAAGGACATTGGTTACAAAGCTGAGGACCAGTCTTGGAGCCTGCTGCCTCCAGAGACTTGAGACGACCACACCCTCCTCCCCTGGAGATACGGCTACTGCTGGGTTAATTACAGCAGGTGGGAACAGCAGGGCCTGCAGTGTAGCTTTTCATAGCACATTGCTTTTTTTGGTTATAACTATTAGATTTTAAAAGTTACCAGAAAAAAAAAATGCCGGATATTACAAGTTAAATATTTCAAATGCAGATAAAGAAAAGGCTGATCTTCATCCACCTTCTCCAGTGCGGTCTCCTTAAGTGGTAATAGCTCCCTCCACACCTTTTTTTCTGCTCATACCAACATAAACACATATAAAATAGTATTATCTGTTGTTTTCTTTTTTTTTTAAAGAGAATGGCATCATGCCATATGCATTCCTGTGTTGGTTCGTTCATTCTTTTTTTTTTTTTTTTTTCCTTTTTAACAACATATTCCTCCCTCTAGGTCAATTATGGATTCAACTCATTCTTTTTTCTCATGTCAACTGTCTTGTTAATTTATTATTATTGGAATGGGTCATATGCTTATGTGAGTGAAAACAGAATGCTACTGGAAGGCAGCTAATGTAGAGTCTTGCTCCCACCTCTTTCCATATTTTCTTGTATGTGTCCTTTCAGTGTTGCCTTATGCAGATGCTAGTGTGTGTGTGTGGGTGTATGTCTGTGTGTCTGTGTGTGTGTATGTGTTGTTGTTTTCTCCCTTGTTAGATAAACAACACTATCTAATTAAAAAAAAAAAAGCTATATAGTATGCCACAAAGTGGATGTATCTTATTTTATTTAGGATTAGATTTTTTTTTTTTTTCAAGACAGAGTTTCGCTCTTGTTGCCTAGGCTGGAGTGCAATGGCATGATCTCAGCTCACTGCAACCTCTGCCTCCCAAGTTCAAGCAATTCTTCTGCCTTAGCCTCCCGAGTAGCTAGGATTATTGTTGAGTGCCACCACGGCAGGGTAATTTTTGTATTTTTAGTAGAGATGGGGTTTCACCATGTTGGCCAAGCTAGTCTTGAACTTCTGACCTCAGGTGATCCACTTGCTCAGCCTCCCAGAGTGCTGGGATTACAGGCATGAGCCACTGTGCCTTGCCTCAAGATTAGATCTTTAAGAATGTTATACTTCATTGTGAGTAGATTGTAATCTAGCATATGAAAGAAGGAAATTCTGTACAAATATAGAGTTGACCAAATCAGGTAAAATTGTGTTTGTGATTTTTATTTATTTATTTTTTTAATAGAGACGTGGCTTCACCATGTTGGTCAGGCTGGTCTCGAACTACTGACCTTGATCTGCCCACCTTGGCCTCCCAAAGTGCTGGGATTACAGGCATGAGCCACTGCGCGTGGCCATGTTTGTGATTTTTTTTAAAGAGAGCACTGGGCCATGAGATTGAGAGATAATCAACTGTTCAGCCTCCTTTCTTGATGTCCAAATAAGATACTAAAGCTGGGAACAAGTATTACTTTAGGTCATTGCAATTAGGCAGCTGGTTGGTGGCAAAAGTGGATAAGGGTTAGCATGCCTGTGACTTACTGTGTTTGGGTGAATGTGGGTAAATCAAAGTAACTGTCTAGTAAAATTGACTGTTAGGTTGGATGGTAACCTACATGCTTCCTGAACTCTGACTGGCTTGCCAGGTATCTCATCTGTCTTTTTCTTTCTTGTGTTCCCTTCAGGTGGTTCCTCCAAAAGAGTGGAAGCCACGAGCATCCTATGATGACATTGATGATTTGGTCATTCCTGCCCCCATCCAACAGCTGGTGACGGGGCAGTCTGGCCTCTTTACTCAGTACAACATACAGAAGAAAGCCATGACCGTTCGGGAGTTCCGCAAGATAGCCAACAGCGATAAGTGAGTGGAAACCCTTTCTTTCTTGACATAGCACCTAGGACCCTGGTGTCTCATCTTCCTAGCATGTCCAGGACCGCTGCTGTCCTGATGAACAGGGTCTTCAGCAGGACAGCTCTGTTCTAGCTGTCTCCCTTTTTGCTCTTTTTGTGGAAGCATTTCCTCTTCTCAGGGCTGTGTCCCAGTCTAAACCTGTTCCTGTTCTTATATCAACAAATCCCATTGTTTTTCCATGAGAAGTAGAATCATTTTCTGACTCTAAAGTTGCAAAGGAGAAGGTTGGAGGTGGTGCAGAAGGAGCTTTTGCTGGGTATTGATAACCATCTGCTCATCAAAAGTGCTTTAGTACAATGAATATAAGGCCAGGATGTTGAAAAAAAAGAAAAAGTGCTTTAGTTTCAGTTCCTCTCTCTTGGGATGCTCTGTGTTTAATTGTGCTGGGATTTCTCACTGCCCATCCAGCCTGCTAGCTCATTTCTGTTTTGACACTAGCAAAGTGTGAGTAAAACACCAAGCTGGTTGCTATTTTCTGTCACTCCATTCTTCCTCTGTAC